AAGAGGTGGGCAGAGGGAGGAGGGAGCCTCAGAATGCAAAGGCAGGCAGGAGGGCGTGGATTAGAGCCCTGCACAGAAATGGCTTTCTTATCACCACACAACCTGAATTGCCAGGACCAACTCTGAAAATTGAATTGCCTCCCGCCCTCCCCCCTGCCCTCCACTACCCCCTTTTAGTTCCCTCCCAGCCCCACCCCCTCTGAAAGCCCTGTTGGGAGAGACCAAGAGACAGATGCAGGAGACACCGAGGTAGAGAGGAGAGCAGCCGAGCAGAGACCACATGCTCTGGGGGACCAGGAAGCAGAGGCAGAAACAAGGCAGGGATGGGAGACATCTGAGTGACCGGGGGCTTCAGCCGAGAGGAGGATGGCCCCGCCCTGCTCATTCCCCTACCTGCCCCTGCACCCAGCTGGCCAGGTTGCTGCCTTCTCATCCCTGCTGGCCCTTCTCCAGTCCCCACCTTGGCGCCTCTGCAGGGCCTGAGGCAGGGCCCTGATGGCCGGGGCAGAGCCCTGGGCGGGAGCCCGTGGGTGCTTGGAAGCAGCCCCAGTGAGTTCCTGGCAGAGCCAGGCTGCAGGTGGTGGGGAATGGGCCTGGGGTGGCCAGGGGGCAGCCAGCTGTGTAATCAGGCAGCTCTCAGAGTGGCCAGCCGGAGGCAGGGGGTGGGCAGAGCAGAAGCGGGGTGAGCAGAGGGAGGGCCGAGCCCACCTGCCTCCAGCGCCCCACTCAGGCCTGGGGCCTGGGCTTGTTGCCCAGGAAACTCAGGAGGGGTTGCAGGAGTCAGCGGGAGACTGGGGCCCCTGGCGCGGCCTAGGCCAGCCTCCAGGCCTGATGAAAATCAGAGGCAAGGTGCTGCTGCCCCAGCCTGAGCTGGTCCTGGCTCCCCTTCCCACGCCAGCATCTCCCTCCACCGAAAGCCTAGGTCCTAGGACTCTCTCTTGAACGGGCACCTGGCCTCTAACCGGCAGCAGCCCCTTCCCTCACACCCCTCTCTCCACAGCCTCCCCCGCCCCCTTGTACTGCCCATCACTAGTCTAGCGCAGTGCCTGGGGTGGGCAGGCAGGCAGTCACAGGAGCCGGGGGCCCCGGGGAAGACCAGGTCATGGCCCCAGACCTTCTCCACTCAGCCACTCTCCTCAAACACGCACACGTGCACACACGTGCACACACACATATTACACACATGCGCACACACACCTTCAAGATCATTCAGAATGTCTTGTTGAATCTCAAATTCACCTATTATCAGCTCCAGAGACCTTTTAACCCATTGTACGCCATAAGCGTCTGTAGATGCAAGCAGCGGGACCTTCCCCACATGCCATGGCGTCTATAAAAAAAAACGTTTTCCCTAAGTGGCAGCCCTGACCAACTTTCAGATCATTTTTCATGAGAATTTTCAGCTGAAAATATTCATGAACTCCCAAATTGTGAATAATATATTTATTTTTATAATATTCATTGCAAATTGATTTTTTAAATTAAATTCAAAATATTGTGGTTTGGGGATGGTTTCCAGTTTGGACACATGGCAGTTAACTGGTTAATCAAACCCCCATTTTACAGGTGGGGAAACAGTCCAGGGAGGGAATGAACTTATCCGAAGTCACATGACGAAGTCCCTCTAAGCCAGCGGTTCTCAACCTGTGGGTCTCGACCCCTTTGGGGGTCGAATGACCCTTTCACAAGGGTCGCCTAAGACCATCGGAAAACACATATATAATTACATATTGTTTTTGTGATCAATCGCTATGCTTTATGTTCAATTTGTAACAATGAAAATACATCCTGCATATCAGATATTTACATTACGATTCATAACAGTAGCAACATTACAGTTATGAAGTAGCAACAAAAATAATTTTATGGTTGGGGGTCACCACAACATGAGGAACTGTATTAAGGGTCGAGGCATTAGGAAGGTTGAGAACCACTGGTCTAAGCCCAGCCAGTCCTTCCCTCCAGGGGGACCTCCCGGAGAGCCCCCACCAGCTCCACGACTCTTCCCAGACTTTCCAGGTTCTTCCGGCCACCTGCTCACCTGTGCCTCCCAGACCTGGCCAATGGCAGGGCCCCGAAGTTAATAAATCAAGGTGACTTTAGGGACAAGAATGGGCCTCTTTCTCCCTTGTCCCTCCCATTTGCATAATCCTGGCTGGCAATATGATAATGATGTTTGTTAAAGACAGAGCACAATAAATTAATACCGTTAAGTTGTTGCTGCAAAATGCAAAGCAGGTAATTTACTGCCAGCGAGGAACAGAGCCTTTAAACTGTAATGGATTAACTTTCCCAGCAGCAAATGTGTCCCTGGAGGGAGAGAGTTGGGAGGCAGGGGCGGGGCGGGGCTGATGCTAGGGGGCGCCTGCTTACTTCCCAGGGCCTGGCCTGGGTTGTCCAGGCCCCAACCTTAGGGCAGGGGCTGCAGGAGGCACGGTGACCTGGGACTTCCTGGGATAGCCCAGGCCCCTCTAGAGGAGGGGCTGCGATGTCCCATTTGTGTACCCCTCTGCAACCCTCAGAAGGCACTCCTGTTTGGACCCTTCTTTCTTGAG